GGAAATAACCCAGTTTGGTAATAATTACTGTGAAAAAATAAGCCTTGCAATAATAGTTGATTATCAACTGAATATTAGTCAGTCAGGTCTTATGACTGCCAAAAAGCTAACTGCACTTTGAGCCTGGGTTAACAAAAGCATTGTTTCTAAATCATAGCCCGTTAAGCCAAGATCCTTTTAAATAAAATACTCAGGCAAACAAAATAGAGATCCATAACTCTACACCGCCTTGTCTGTTATGGCTTATCTGTCTGTCAAGCGTTTTGGCATGCTTTATAAGATATGAGGAAGTTATTACTTGGTTTTATTTATTTAAACCCTTCTTTAGGTCATAGAAATAACCATTTTGCTAGGAACCGTGACTGATTATTTTCACTGCTGTGATGGCTACTTTTTCCAATTTCTGAGAATGTGAAATAACAGGTAGAAGCAAAGGTGGTGAGATGCTGGAATAGCTGAAACCTGAATGATACTGAACTTACGTGTTGTACCTATATGAAACATTCTAGGGAAGACCAAGCTGCCAGTGAAATTATGAGAGGGCTATTATATTTATTGCTATTTTCTAATCTTTTATTAGTTCCTTTCGTGTGTGTGTGTGTGTTTGTGTGTGTGTGAGGGAGGGAGAGAGAGAGAGAGAGGGAGAGAGAGAGAGAGAGAGAGATGTTTATGTCAAAATGCAATATAAAAATACCATATTCAAACGTGGCATGGTGGTTTGGCAAGTGAACCCTAAGATCCGTACAATCTCTTAAGATATGTTTTCACATGTGAAGGCACCTCTGAAAGTGTCTTCATTTAATGTTAGGTTGCCAAATAGCATTTTTTCAGTGACTTCCTTGTTTTGCTATGTAGAACAAGTGTTACTTTCATTCCAAGTGTGTCCTTTGTAGAAAAGCTTGTGTATACTTTGCTAATTGGAGCAGGTGACATGGAGACAAAACACTGTTGGTAACTTACTGAAATATTAAGATGTTTCATTGTTCTTTTGTTTGTTCTGAATGTTAGTAAAGCGCTAGCTTGATGGAGACGCACTCCTTGTGTAATATGTAAATTGTGAGGGCAAATGTTTTTTTAGGGTTAGGGTTAGGATTTAGTAAATCTAAATTTAAGGGACACAGGTGGTATATACAGTAGATTTGTATGGCCCTAAGCTTATTTGGATAACATGTTGCTGTATTCATTTCAAATAATGCTGAAGACTTTCCGAAATAATCTAAAGTAATTATTTAAATGCAGAATGAAAACGAGCTATATTCTGGCAAATTCTATTGTGAAATAGAGGAATGCCATAGAATACTTGGATCAGGTTTTCATCGCTGTATATTATTCACAGTGCTGGTATTTATAGAGAATTTGGACATTACTATATTAAATATCTTCCCTTATCGACAGGGAGTTGAAAAGATTTATAGAGGTACACTTACTCAGTGTAGGATTCATGAGACCATTTGGGACGCATGGACATCCAGTTTCTGTTTGAAGACATTTAGAGGAGAATTTACTACCTCATTTGACAACCTGATAAAGCAGTCAAGGAATTCACCTTGATGGATACCTCAGGCCTTCTTATAGTTTTGACCCACTGATCCTGGTCCTACTCTCTCCCCTTAGTTGTATTTTGTGTGTACACTAAATAAACCCAATTTTTTAACCATTCTTTATAGGCTATCAAACACTTCATTAACTTGGTAGCCTTCCTCTGATTTCCTCCAGTTTGTCACTCTCCTTTTGAACTAAGGAGCCGAGACCTGAATGCAGTACTTGAAATAAGATCTAATCAAGTTAGAGTAGAGTAGAACAGTTTCTGTGTTTCCCCGAAAATAAGACAGGGTCTTATTTTCTTTTGACCCCTGAAATAAGCGCTTGGCCTTATTTTCGGGGAGGTCTTATTACTTTTGAGGTGCAGGAGGTGCCTTAACCTTGGCCTGTGGCCAGCAGATTAGCTGATCCAGAGAGGG